CCTCAAATGTATTGATTTCAATAGGAGTTAGGTACCTAAATACCTTTAAGGATCTGGGCCTGAATAAGTTCTTAACCTGATACTAAGTTGTTTGAATAACTGCATGTGAGAGCTACTGTTTTATTAGCATCAGACATGCATCTAAGAATATTATTTTGCTATTGTAAGTACAAGTGAGCTTGGCATTGGGCACAACGTTTTTAAAGCCCAGTGTCTACAATTATATTCCTAAACTCATGTTAAGACCCCTAAATCTAAGTGGCTTGATTTTCAAAGGTGCTGTGCACCCACAAAAGCCATTGAGGTTAATATGAGGTAAAGGCGATTGGCAGTTTTGTAAATTAGGCCACTTATATATTTAGGTGCTTAAATATGGGTTTAGAAGCCTAATGTTAAGTGCCAAGTTTGGGAAATTTTGCCCTAAATACTTTTCCAAACCTGAGTCCAGCCACCATCTGTGAGAACCTGCTGTTCCCCACTTCCAGGGGAATCTCCCCAGTGTGCCTCTATCCAGCCCAATAGGCTGGACCCAATCACACACCACCGTCTTTGCAATATCCTGCAGGATGACCTGTCTGCCAGCACCCACAGGAGCCAGGCACTATTCATCGCCATACTGGCCACAGGAGCTTTTCAGCAGGTCACCGCACAGACACTCATCAGCAGCCTATGGCCGCCAGGGTGCTGGACTAATTTCTGGAGGCCATCACTGGACAAGTAACAAGAGTACATTGATTTCCCCGCCAACCCAGCTACACAGTGGGAAAAACATGGTCGAATTGTACTGGCTGGCAGCCATCTTATGCACCTTGGGAGTGGTTAATGGACCATACATCTGCATCAGGAAACCATAGCATGGCCCTGCTCCCCAAGCCTATACAAGCCACCATTGAACACTTGTGATGCCAAATTAATGTCCATGGATGCTGTGGCATGATACCCAGGGGCCTGCCATGATGCCTACATATGGTTACAAGCTGGACTCAGAGAGTTGGTTTACATCGGAATATCCCATAGTCCAGTGGTTAGAGCTCACTCCCAGGAGGTATTGCAGACCCATATTCCAATCCTTCCTTCCCCCTCCAGCAGGGAGAGGGTACTAGATCTGGACTCTACCACATCCCCAGTGAAAGCTCTAACCCCAGGCCTACCGCCACCTCCTTCCCTCCCAGTTTTGTGTGGCGTGAAGCAGGCACCTAACTCATTCTCACAAGAAATGACTTAGGTGCCAAAGCTATCCAGCTCAAGGAGAGTGGTTCTTGTTTGTGGGTCACTAGCAGAGCTAGACACTTCACTGCAGCCCACATTTAGATGCCTTTGTCTGAGAGAAGAGTGGAGATTAACCCCTCTGGTCAGCATCTGCCATTGGCTGGCCTCTAGCATGCTGGATTTAGTAGGTCACATTTTTAGGCACCTAATTCTCTTCATTAATCTTTTGGCTGCCTAATGCCCCCAACTCAGCTAGGTGAATTGCAGTGTTGCTCCATGAGTTACTAAGCACCTGAAAGTTAGGTGCTGTGATGCTCCGTGTGGTGAAGCCTAAGTCCCTTTGTGGATCCCACGATACATGTCTAACTTAAGGTATTTCACTCACACACTTTAAATTAGACACATGATTAAATATCTTGCTGAACTGGGGCCAGCATTCAGTTTTTGGTGCAAATACACATTCAGAATTCACTGTCCATGATTATTCCCCTGACCTTCACTAAAAATCTGCTGTTTGCAGGAATATTCTTACCAATAAGTTATTTGCTAAACTATTTGCAGACAGTAAACGCACAATGGGGCATAAACACAGCTGAAGGGAATTCAAGAGGTTTTTTTTGTCAATTGATAGAATATTTGAGGGGAAATGTTTGAAGCGCTTATGAGAACCTGTTGCTCTCGATAGCAAAACTGAGTGATCCTTCACTGATGAACTGCAACACTACACAAGCCGCTAAGTAGGCTTTAATATCAGCGTAGAAGCTTTTAGAGGCTGCCGTGTCAAAGTGAATTAAAGTGTCACTAAATGGTTCTTAATACAACTAACCAAAATGATTTCTTCAGGGCAATTATGTTTTACTGTGTCAATCATCCAATAGGCATTAATATAAACTAGAATAGCTCTGAAGGAATTTGTTATGGACTATCATGTCAAGAACCCAAATGCTAACCTACTGTGGCCTTGATATGATAGACTATTAGAACTATTAAGGGCCAGAGTCCAATTAATCCACAGCTTTAACAGTCCTCTACTGCAGTGGGTCTCCATACAATTAAGCAATAATGGATGACAGGAAGGATACTTCCTGGTAGCTAATGACCAATTGCAATAGTTGAAGGCCCTTAACCCATCTGGTAATTAAGTGCTGGGAAAGACACAACCTGGGAGCTCATGGTTGCTATTATCAACCATATATTTAAAAAATAAATCAATTACTGTTTCTTTTTTTCCTGTGCCAGCTGCTACTGTTTGGCTTTTATGCTAGTAATTAACTCCTGAAAATATACCAGCAGAGCAACCAATGAGAAAGCAGGACTTCATAGAGCACATTCTAATTTAGAAAAATATTAACAGTAATAGGCCACAATGGCACCAAACTAATAATTGTGCGTATTGAATGAAATCTGTATGCTAAAGATGCAGCTTGGGTTCTGGTCTCAGAACAGTGTGTTCTAGTGGCATGAAACCACAACTGGGCATGAGGAGCTTCTAAATTCTAATCTTGCTTGTTCCCCTCACTTGTTGTCATTTGTTGTCTTCAGAGAAGTTGCTCAACTTCTCCATGCCTCAGTTTCCCCATTGCTAAACCAGGAGTAATAATACGTACCCGTCTCACAGGGGAGTTGTGAGGTTTAACAGATATTTGGCAATCACTTTGCTATTTCAGCTCGAAAATCCCATGTGCGTGCATAGTATTTTTATTATTAATCTCATTAAGGCTTAAGCTCATATCCTATAAATTTAGGATTTGAACTATTGTATCACAAGCAAGCCAGAGCAATAATGAAGAACAGAAAGGCTGTCAACTGTGTCCTCCATATAATGAAATCTGATGGTGCAAGGCAAGATTGTACAGGATTGGCCACCACCACGCATCACAAGCACATTTTGCTGCTCCCTCAAGAAGGGACAGTGTGCTCACTGACCTGCTGTCAGCTAATAATTGCAGCTGGTTTCAGTAGCCACACTAGCTGCCTTCGCTAAACAGGCCTGTCTTCCAGCAGCTCACTCTTCTGGGGACATGGCCCCCTCCACGATGCATTAATTGGGTGTAACTTGTGTTTCAAGGAAGTAGTTTGCCTGGTTGCTGGTGCTGGAAGCAGTGGCTCCTCACATCCTGTTCCTCATCCCCTTGTGCTCTTAATGGACACTCATGCAATTACACTGACACAGTCGCTGTTATTGTTTTGCATATTATGTGTCTCTGTGATCATTTTTCTCAGCTATAAACTACATCAATGAAAAGACTCACAGCTAAGTAGTAAAAGTTTGAAAGTTCAAAATAAAAGCTAACTTTGCACTGTGGGCCCTTCAACTGGTGTAAATTGGCTTCAGTGGAGGTACACCACTTTACATCAGCTAAAGTTCTGGACCCTCATCTCAGACCTACTCGGTGTGCTCAAAACCTAGACATGGTAACAAGAGCATAGGCCTCAGGCTCTGGGTTTCTCTCACTTCCGTCACTTTCCTGTCTTTGTTTTCTAATGCAGTCTGGTGATTTCCATGTCATACTGAATTGTAGTGCAGTTCCAATAGTTAAAGGGACGTTGTGCTCCTTTTCTTCCTTGATGGGGGTTTAGTCTTGCAGTTGCAGTGGAACAACTCTTCCGATATTTACTAAGGACCAAATCTTAGTATCACTCAAGTCAATTTTTTTGGTCATTACTTCATTCGCATCCACATTTGACCCTAAAACGTTTAACCATAGAGCTTTCATAACTTGATGTATCTTTTTAATAGGCTTGTGAGTTATGTTGTCTCCAGGGATGGAAGGATTCATTCCTTCTTGGACATCTGGAGATGTTTGGCTTGTGCAATAACAGAAACAGGCCTAAAATCTGATGTAATGCACAGCCATCAGTCTCTATTACATTATACTTATTACAGTGCACTTCAGTGTAATTTATTCTTTTCCAAGGAGAACTGTGACTAAGTAATTACTAACCCCCAAAGCCAATCATAATATAGAAAGGAGAGCAGTTCCCAGACAAAGCAATATGGCCTTACAGTTTTTCATGTTGTCGAGTTTGGTTATAGTTAGTTAAAGTGTTTTATGATGGGATGGGGAAAAAATAAAGGAGGCAAACAAAGAGGGACACGTGTTGTCTCATTTCCACTTGATAAAAACCCATCTCAGATTATGTTGCTTCCACAAGCATTTTCTGCTTACACAGCACATAGTGTACAGTGAATGCTATCAAACAAAATATGCTATCAAGTAAGTCTATCAAGGCAGATAGTATTAATGGATTTTGGAGACAGAAATGTCTTTGTGGAATGCAAAGGGATTGAGAAAAACAGTGAAGTGCAGGAAGGTGAGGTTGATAAACTTAAAGGGGGCAGAATGACTGGACCAAGTGGCCTTTTCCTGTCTAGAAGTTCCTTCTGATCTTAATTCAAAGACTGACAGATTTCATAATACATAATGGAAGAGGCATAGAAAAAGCCACACGCATGTGTCATAAAACAAAATTTATCTTTAATTTGTAAGTGTCAACAGCAGTACAAAAGATGGAGTGATGGTGAATAGATTAAGGGTAGAGAGGACAGTCTTGAGGTAAATGAGCATAAATAGGCAGTCTTATAGACACTCCCCTGAGGGGTCTATACCCCTATCATGGCATATACGGTATCACCCAAAGATGACATGTTTAACATATCAGGAAAGCACCTTGTGCAAAAAAAAAAAAAAAAAAAAAAACCCCCAAAAAACCCAAAAAAGAAGCAAAGAAGAAAAAAAACATCCTAAAAAACAGTAAATGAAAAAAATAACAAAAAAACAAAAAAAAAAAAAAAAAAAAAAAAAATCCCCCCGCAATCCCAAACATGTAGGTAAGGTGCCAACATACACCAGAATATACTGTATAAGGACTGTGTCTTTCAGTTGTGTCTTTTCCATTAATTACTGAGGCAGAGGAGGAGAAGACTCTTAAATGTACCACTGAAAGATTATTTAATATTTAATTTACCTCACGTCAATACTGCACAACAAAATCCAAGTTGTCTGTTTATGCAATGAAGCACAGCTAAGAATAAGGATTCTCTTTTTTTTTTAATTGAGAGCAGATTTTGTTTTAAATCAATATCCTTAGCAAACTTTTTTTTCTTTTTTACTGTATCGAGAGGAGAGTGTGAGAAAGATGTGATGGCAACCTTTAAGTTCATTTAAAAACTTTACACTGGACTGTACAAGATTTTTTTCTGATAAATTATTTACATTTTCAGACTTTAAAACATATTCAAAGCAGCAATAGACACTAGTTTTTCCTCTAAACGCCCAAATATTTACCAGCCATGGGCCCAGGGTAGGTACCTGCATTGTATATAGAATTTCTACAAAGAAAACCTGCCAGTTAAAATTTGCTAGTGGGTGTACAAACAGCAGCTCTAGCATTTTAAGAGCCACACCCATAGTGTTGCTAAAGGAACCAAAGCATAGTACCTTGACAAGAGAGTCTCAGTTGTCCCAACAGCTCTACACAAACTTTACAATTGGAAACAGCAGCTAGCATGTCAGTCCAGCATGTCAGTGAATTGTGCTGATTAAATTAACATAGAGTACAATCTCACAATATACATCACAAACAAATTACAATGTCAGGAAATAAGAGTTACAGTAAGATAAGTTATGTAGTAACAGCTTATAAGCTTGTCTTAATGTAATAAAAAAAATTTTACATGGCAAATACAATAATGAGTGAACATAAATGCTAAACATCCTACTCTGTTACAAGCTGAAGAAGGAAAAAAATGGTGCTTTCGAGAAAGCAAAACACAAATGACAAAGGAAGACAAACGGAGAATGCACACTAGCAGGTCTGCAATGTGCAGCATACAAACAGTTAAATATTTGCACATTCCCCATACTCTAAGAGCACCAAGGACCTCACTTGTGTTTTTTAAGAAAGCGGAAATTACAAAGCAAGCAATGTCACTAAGTTGCTTTATAGCTTTCATATTGCCATAAATACCAATTTGATAAGTTTTCCTTTAGCCCCTCCCCCCACCCCTTTGCACCCAATGCGTGAACTCTCAGAATACTTCTTTGTCAGCTTTTTAAAATGCATCTGGTACTTAAAAGGGATGTGGAGTCAAAAGAAATACGTTTCCATATACATATCTTTTAATGCTTTTTTTGTTCTGTAGTAGGATCAGGGCATTACAGTATATCAAAAATGTAATATCATCTGAGAAAAATCACAGACTATAATGGGTTTATATAAAAAAGGTGTTTGGATAAAGAAGTTATTTAAGGAGAAAGAGCAAGTATTTTGTAAAAGATCAAATGAGGTTATATAATATTTTTTAAAATGAACATGCTTAAGTGCCAACTTGAGTCTTAAACAAGCATGCAAACGCCTGGGGTCTGAGACCGTTTGTCAACTTCTCATTAAAAATATGAAGAATTATATCATACATTCTACTGGCTGAATTTCTAGTGCAGTTGTTGGCACTGTAACCCTGGGTCAGCAAATGATTTAAGCACATGCTTAACTTTGAACAACTTAGTGGTGTTGCATTCATTTCAATGGAACTACTCACATGCTTAAAGTTAAGCAGATACTTATGTGTTTTGCTGGGGGCCCTGCAATATTTCTTACTGAAAAATCATTTTGATAAAGTTTCAAGAAATTCCATGTCTTTGACAACACAAAAAACAGTAATCCATAGGGACAATGCGGGGACCATGCTTGAATTTAGTATTAGGGCATGGTTGTGTTTACACTCTAAACAATCATTGTTTTCAACCAACTGCTGTACTCTTTTTACAGGATATAGTACTTTCTGTACATAACCCTAGTTGAATAATAGTGTAGTCATTCATTTTGGAGTTCCCACTCCGTAGCAATCCCATCTTTTACCCTCACCCTACCTCTTGATGAGCCTAAACACACCAATTTAGGAGAACATTCTGATCCCATGCATTCTCAGAAGCTGGTTTCACAAGCTAGATGGTGATACATGAACGTGTACATGGATCAGAATTGGGCCCTTTCGTGAGGGTTGTTTCCCCATGTAAACATGTACCTTGAAAATCAGAGGTTCTATTCCATTAAGACTTTAATTTCTGTTTCGTCAAACACCAAGTGAAGTCAACAATTTACCTCTAGCTGGCACCAGACAGCTTCAGGAGTGTTCTTCTCTTGAAAATAAGTCTTTTATACGTTTCCAAAAAGAAAATATATTGCATCTGTTAACTAAATAAGGAAATATACTGTAAAACTGTTTCAGTTCACAGTAAAAATAGCTTTACTATATTTGTGCATTACCTGAATGGCATGATTTTTTTAAAATCAGAATTATTCTGCGGTACTTAAACTCAATGCTTTGAAAACAATCCCACATGTCCTCTTTGCCAATATTTTTTCCTGTTTTTTAACTCCTGATATGACGATATCATGACATAATGAACACAGCAATCAACAGTTTAACAGTATTAAATCTAATTAGCTTTGCAAGGGCTCTCTTAATGATGATAATCTTCTTGAGGCATGTGTTGTTGCCTCCAAAATGCCATTATCTGCTTTCAAATAGGAATGAAACTATTTCATCAGTTTTGCTCGGATTCACAAAGCAAATTGAGTTTCCTACCAGCTGTACTGGAAAGTTGGTATGTATAAACTTTCTATAAAAAAAAGAAAAAAAGTATTCTGTTTGTGGAATATGCAATTAAAATTCAACGAGAGCACAAGTGAGGCATCTTGCTGTCCCAGCTACAGGTCCACAATACTGCTCTCACACTGCGGGTGTAAATTCAGCATCTACATGAGGTACAGTGACTTGTCAGCATTTAATATGGACCAACATACACTGATACAGAACCAAAGTAAATACATAACTTATACTTCACTAAGTATCCATGAACAAAAAATAAAATTCTATTTCCTATGTTATATTTACACAATTTTTAAAAAAATCTAAAATGAGATGGTAAATTCATCAAAAACTTTGTTTTGAGCTCCAATTAATAAAGTAAAAATGACATTTTTCCTTATGATTGTCCTTCCTTGATTTCCACTGACATTTTAGAGCCAATGTCGGCTAATAAATACAATAAAATGCTTATATGCACAATTTAGATTCAGTTACTTCCCTCTCACTTCTCCAACCAATAAATGCAGGTTTTACAATCTGGTGATTCCTGAACAGCCAATCATTTTCAAGAATGTGGCTTTAAGTGACAGAGCATGAGCATTGAGGCAGGGCTGGAGCTAAAACAAAGTGTTCATACATACATGTATTTTGCATAAATAAATGAAATAAGACATAAAAATGACTCAAATCCGGCAACTGTGAGGCAGGCCCACACGAGTCGAAACAGATGACTTTTGTTCATATAGTTTTCGTACAACAGTTTCACATTAGTCAGAAGTGATAAAAAATACCATTTATATCCAGTGCTTATAACACTTACGAAACAACATCTGTGAGTGTGTGTGTTTTTTGTACTACAAGCAAAATCAAGTTTCAGTCCTAAAGAACAGTCCTTTGTTCTCCACCAGCCTGCAGAATATTATTTTGGCATGGTCATAAAATTTAAAAAAATTAACCTACTAATCTAAATGTTTGCCTTTGTGCAAAAATAATTACATAAAAAACAATGCTAGCAATACAGCATTCTACCTATGCAACAGAACCAGAAAGAAAAGAGAAAGAGAAAAGAAATGAGGTGGGGGGAGGGAGAGATATTTAGAACTAGTGAAATTTGTAAGACATTAATAAATAGTTGTTCTTTAGGAAATAATAGTACCCTCCCACCTAATCCAAGCTAGATGTATTAAAAACAGTTCAAATCTTCAAGAAATATTAAGAACAAAAAAAACAACACTTTCTATCAGTACCTTAGCCAGCTTAAAGAGGGCGCTCACCAGCTAATGACACAGCATATGCCTTTAAAGTCTTGGCTAGACCAGTTTATTGCTATTAGACATGGACTTAGAACCACACTTAATAAATAGTAAAAATATAGCATTTTGTTCCAAATTACAAAATGGTCAGAGAAATTTGACCACTGTGTTTCTGTGTCATTATCTTTATAAATCGTCCTGTAAACTGAACAATCTTCATTGTTTTTGCACATTTAGATGTGATTCCTACAGTGGTGACACCGATTATCTCCACTCAAACAGCTGCAGCAGTTGTGAGAGAAATGACAGCTCACAGCACAGCGACTCATCATTAGATCTTACAGGAAGCTTTACAAGATTGTGTGACGGGCATGAAGATAATCTCTATTAATACTGTACCTATTTAGTCATATGGGGCCTGATCCAATGCTCATTAAAATCAATGGGGGCTGGATCAGGTCCATATATATTTATTTGAATGTATCTGATTCTGCAAGGTGTTGAGTGCTTCACGGAGATGCTGAACACCTTAAACTCGCAGTAAAGTCAGTGGGAGTTGAGGACACTCAGCACAAGTGCAGGATCAGACGCCCAGTACTGTCTCTTATGCACAGTGATTTATTTGTGAGTATCAAGAGTAGAGTGGGAGTGAAGAAAAGAAGAAAATGTCTCCCTTTTTATATTCTCTTTGTCTCTGAACATTCAGTAACTTCTCAACCTGGGAGTGTTCCCTCTCTTTCTCCCCCATATATTTGCCAGAAGTTTTCTTTGTCATTGATATTGTTTCTAATCATACAAATAATAATATTTTGCATTTTATAGCAGGTTTCATCCAAATATCCCAAATCACCTTACAATTATGTATAAAGTTTCTTAAAACCCATATGATATAAAAAAACCCCATCATTATCCTCATTTTACAGATAGAGAAATTGAGGCACAGAGATATTAAGGCCCCAATCCTGCAAACACATACGTAGTTAGACTCATACATGTGAGTATAATTAAATACATACCTAAGTGTTCATAGAACTGTGGCTTAAATGACTTGCCCAAAGTCACTCAGCCAGTCAATGGCTGAGCAAGGAAAGGAACTCAGGAGTTCTGGCTCCCATTCCCATGCAACTAATATTTGATAAATCTATTGTAATGCACTCTTTGCCTTGCTCTGCAATTCAGACTTTTGTGTGAATTTTCCCTCAAAGAATTTCACAAATAAATCACTGCATAAATACACTGAAGATATCAGAAAGCTCCCGCAGGTGACCATTGGAATGGGGATGAACAGAACCTTGATTCACTACTTGATTCTACAGGCCCTACAAATCCATCACTGCGGATTCTGAAGAGACATTGAATGCACCTGTCTCCATTGATTGTTCATTGGTATATTGTATAAGTATAGATGTGTATCATGACACACAGAAATATATAGGAGTATATGTACTGTATGTACATATTAAAAGTATCCAATTCTATATTGCATTATATGCAGTATAGTGGTTCCAGATGTTCTTTGGATGTACAGTGTTATGGAAATAATTGGATTTTCCATTCACAAATTCCACTTTCATTTTGGGAAGCAGGTGCATTTTTTATTTTCAGACACCTGCATGTTTTGGGGGAAGAAAGAGAAAGGGCTCTTTAAGACAGTCATAAGGAATTATAAATGTAATGCCACCAACAGTACATTTTAAAATAAATATTAAGTATTTGCACCCTTGACATTCTGGAATGAATAAATTATTTAAGAGAAAATGTGTTAAGACTGAATGCAAGGGTTAAAAGCAAAGGGATAGAGAATGTAGTCAGAGGTGGCCTCACACTGCTAAGACAGGCCTGTCCATAGCTGGTGATCGCGCTTTTGTGCTTAATATTTTGCACTAATGGCATATCAAGAGGCAAAAGCAATTGGGCACGTGCACTGTGGCAACCTTGTTCACTACTTAAGAATATCCTGTCTCCAGATTCCTGAGTACTTTACCATTTTCTGGAAAAAAATTATGTTTTACATATATTTTTTTAAGATGCCAAAGGATTGTCTAAGACTTTACAGTGTCTCCCTTAAGACTTTTTTAAAATGTTAAGATTCAAAAGTTATGAAAAGTTTGGCACATCAGAAGTTCAGCTATACAAGTGGAAAAAGTGGAATTCAGAGTTTGTTTAAAAGATGAGCTCTGACACACAGATGCGTACACTTGCGGACTTGTTCTGTTTCACAATATGAAATCTGCAGTTTTTGTTTTCTAAAATAATCCAGAATAAAAACACATTCACAACCTGTAGGCTGGCACAGCATACCTGAGTGAGAATGTATAACCCCCATCTAAAACAAAAACTTAAACCTTTATCAGCATCCAAATAGGGGAGGGGGAAAAAGACAAGAGACAAAAGGTAAGACTTGTAAGACAGCTATTGATTCATATAAGTTTTCAAGTCCCAATGTCTGATATTTAATATATGTCTTCACCTAAATTAAAAAAAAAACAGGTTCATGAAAATTAGGGGAACAATCTGTCTCACACGTTAAGAAACATTTAAGACCATTCTGCTGATGTAACTGTAGGAGCCACACATGCATGCAGGCTCTTTAAGAACTTTTTGTTCAACAAAAAACAAAAAATCAAAAGAGTCAGAGTACTTTAATTCTGCAAACACTCCTCAGTTGGCACTGACAGCCTCGTGGGCTTCATTTTCACTGCTATAGTCTGATTTGGGATCATCCTCATAGTCCTCATACATTTCCATCTCATCCTCTCCATTTATTATTTCATTTCCAGCAAGGCTTCCGCTGTCTGTCTTCATACCATAAGTGCTCTGAATGACAGGGATGCTGGGCTCTGGACTGGCAGAGGTGCTAGAGCAATCAGATGTCATCTGAGGTGATGGTGCGGTAGTTGCCATGGTAATAGCACCAGGATAGACAACACCTGTTCCTGTGGTGATTGGAATCTGAGGCTGCTGTCTGCAAGGAAACACAAGAATGGAACATGATTACCTTTAGTTTAGATCTGGAGTGGAACCCTACTGTGTATACCAAACAAAAGTAAAATACGTGGTTTCTACAGAACATATTGGTGTACTCCTTTGAGTTCCAGATTCTGATCCTGCAAGGTGCGGAGTGCCCTTTGCTCCTGTCAAGTGCAACTGGAGATAAAGCTGCTCAGCAACTCACAGTATCACACCTTTGATGCATTCAGGTATTGGGTGGTTTAACATAAAATAGACTGCAAAATGTCGCTCAATTTTCTAATACATATGACTTTGTCAAAGCTGGCTTCTGCAGCTTAAAACCTGGCCATTCAAATGTCTCACTGTAGTCCCAGCCTTGCAGCCATACATAGGAGAGCTGGTCAAATAATTTATTGTGAATAATATTCACTGTGCTGAGCACCCGGGGGAGACCATGAGTTCTAGTGTAAGTTCTTCAACTGACTACTGTGAATAGTACTACACCCTTCACAGACCTTATTACTGAGTAATAAAGTAATTGAGACTTAATTGAAAGTCATGTCACAATGGGCCTTAGGCTCCTCAGGCACTTAAGCACTTTAGATATTTTACCCATAGTCCTTAAATTCATGATCACTTAGTATTTGTTCTTCAGAACCTCGTCTCAGTGCACAGGATAGACAGTCAATGAGGATTGCTAAGTTTCAGCCGGCTGCTTACTAGCCATCCCTGTGTCTGTCCTTATTCACTTGCCTGTCCTGATCAGTGATTAAGGGCAAGAGTGCAAAAACTGTCATTTGTGCGTTAGTCTCATTCACTCATTGACATGAGACTACAATCATGCTAAATATCACACCACTGAGCTACCAGGAGATTAAGCTACTCCAAGTTCAGGAACCATGGGAGCCAGTGAAATCATAACATTCCATATAGAACATATCACTATGGGATTTGTTCTGAAAGTGACTCCCCCGCCCCATCTTTACCTAATATAAGCTTAAATGTCCGAAAAGAAGAGAAGAGAAAAAAGGAGATTTTGCTGAGAGATTGAGAGGAAGTGAAGGTGGAGACATCTTGATTTGGTTAAATTATAATATATGAGCAGAGAATTTTCATTTCTTAAGGCTTTGCACAACATGCTTTTGTGACAGAAAAATACACATGGATAGAAAATGTGTCTCTTTCCCTCATTCCACTTCATTACAAACTACTTTCACTATACTGCCAATACATTTTGGGACAAATTCTGCCTCTGGATGTATGCACAGCTTCCAGTGAAATTCACAGGAGTGCCATTGTGAACATGTGATGATAGAATTTGGTTATTTGCCATCTTTTTATAGAATCCTGACTTTGGTGAAGTCTCATCTCCCAGTCTAAGACATAGGCCCCCAGTTCAGAACAAAACGTAAATGGAGTAAAAAGGCAGATGAGAATGTTACTCGCCCTGCTAGTAAAGCCACTGGAGCACCCATCAAACACCAGTTTTAGAAGAATGGTGCTGCTGATGAACAGTTCACAATAAATAAGTTATTCAGTGTGTTTAAATCACTTTTTTCATGTTTGTAAATTGTCTACAAACAGACTGAGATTTTCACTAATTTGTCCCCTATTTGAAATCATTTGATAAATGTTTTGGGCAAACATTTTTCAGCCTATAGTTTTGCTTGCTAATGATTTGCTGCTAGTATTGCTTCAAGTGTTTCAACTTTAACAATTCAATATTCCAACTGTGGGACTGGCTACTTAAATCACATGGTACGATTTCTGTTCCCTGATTGATTGATATAAGCTTTATAAATTACTTCTGCGACAAGCCCAAGATTACCTCTCCACAATCGTTCAGACAAAAGAAACATTCACCTGAAAGTTTGTTTGCCAAAAGCAAATAAATAAGTAGGTCCACAAATGGTCGCAGCAACATTCTCTTTAGAAGTCACCAAGATGTCCATGTGTAATTTTCTCACACTATTCACCAAGTTCTAATGCCAACATTAACCTTTTTTCCTGATATTTCTTTTAATATCATTAATAAATTGACAAAAAAAGGAACTCCACAGTATTAACTCTGAAAGCTCTTCTGAGAAAAGCAGTGCTTTTATACAGCAACATCAGTGGGGCTTACCCTTCCAATATATAAGCTGTTTAGAAACCGGTATTTTTAATGTGTGTTATGTCTGTTGCAGTAGTGTCTACAGGTCCCAATCAGGAATGGTTTCCCACAATTCTGTGTGCTAGATCTCACATGTACAAAGATCTAGCACAAAGTTAAGAAATTGCATAGGGCATTTGTGTGTGACCCTTGACTGTCTAATCCCTTGAAAAAAACATATTTTTTTCATAAGTGGGCAACTAGTTACTAATGGCCAAGATATGAGAACTGATTGTGAAAACAGTGCTCTTAGCTCAAGTGAAGAGACTGCCGTGGTCACGTGCAGACTGTTCTGTGCTATCCCTTTCTTTGCAGTGTTAGAGAGCATTTTTCCCTCTACCATAAGGGAAAAAAAAATCAGAAGGAGCCATGGAGTGGCATGACAAGAAAGGCAGTGTAGAAGTGCTACATGTTGTAGGTAATCTGGTACACTGCTTGTCTGATTTTTTTAAGCCATTTATTAAAGGTTAGCAACTCTCTCTCACATGTCTGCATTTTAATGGGAGGGGAAGTATTTTTGCAATAGCATTACATCTCTTCAACACTTTTTAAGGTAAGAAAGAGTGCAGGTTACCTGGGGATAGTGAGGATGAATCTGCAGTGTTGGTATTTTACTCTAGGCATCATCTCTTGTGCATGCCAAGTCGTAGCATGAACATAAGTAGTATAACAGATCTGCATAACTGATTTGTGTAACAGGAAAGTAGGTCACACCTTTGGGGCTTAATGAATCACTCTTAAGAATGCACTTCACTATTGTTCCTCTAGTGAAGTGTAGAAAAAGCACACGTGTGGTGAACGTGCTTACTGACTGGAGTAGGTCAAAACCAATGGATTATCTGAAGACCTAGATGTGTATTTAATCAGAAATTGGGTTTTTTTTAGTTGTATTGCCACATAGACCATCCTGTGCAATAAAAGATATAAAATAATTCTGGCAAAATCCTGGATCCATTAAAGTCAATGGGAGCTTTGCCATCGACTTCGGTGGAGTCACGATTTCTCCTTAAAACTTTCTAAGATTTCAAAATAAAGGATGGATAGTTACTGGATATTAATTATTTCAAGTGAAGTTAAAAAAGCAAAAAAAAATAAAAAAATGAGCTATGGCCAGAGTTAAATGCGAAGGTCTGATTCCACAAAACACTTAAGCATGTGCTTAACTTTAAGTACAAGTTTAAGTCTCATTGACCAACAAAACTTAAGTAAATGCTTTAAATGAAGGATGTGCTTAAGTCCTTTGCTGAATTGGGAGCTAAATGCCCATTTATCTAATCAAACATGTAAACTATTTTTTCTCTTCTGTGTAATTCTCTTGGTACTTCCTTTTACATTGGTGCATTCTGAGATGGTGTCATTATGACATCACAAGCTACATGGCTTGCACTTGATGCTGGAAATGACTGTAATTTTCTAGGAAATAAGATTATTCAGAGGAGAAAAAGAAGTAAAAAGGGGTTAGTTTAAATTTGCATTCTGCATGCTCTGAATTGATTGATTAGTTGGGGTGTCTAGCATATATTTCAGGTCTTAACTTAATTTTACATTTTTGATTTGCAGTTTACCTTAAAAACATTTGTATTTAAAAGTATTTGTCATATTGAATTCTAGATCCTCTAGTCTAGCCAAGCTGTGCTAAGCAGACTACCATAGGCAAACGTATTTTTACATCACCTCTATGCCTCCCTGATTCTGCTTCACCCCCTGGTTTAAGTTCTTAGTTGCACCCGGCTTCAGTGCCCACCAAAGGGCCTTTCCAGAAGCTGGAGATCACCAAAGTACAACAGTGCTCATGCCTTAGAGGTTATGAGAAGCGGTGGTGTAGAGCTGGCTACACCAGCTCTATATTACTAGAGGACTCTCTGATGCCAGGGAAATCATCAGAGGGCCAATTAAGCCAGTTCTATAGACCCTTTGCTCTGCCAGTGTTGCAAAGGGGCTGTATTGGGGCCAAGGATCTGGCCCAATATAATTAGACAAGTACAGTAACGAGTAGGCAACATGAAATTTCTCATATAAACTGACCTGCTGGCAATTTAGTAGTATTAACATTATTAGGATTTTCCTGGAGCACATTCCATTTTTTGACTTTTGCAAAACTAACTAAACATTTAAATTGGCAAATTACCATTGTTTGCTGATCCCTTCAGAACTATTTTCTGACAGCTTTTTAAATGACTGAAGCTAAATTGGTTGCGTTAGGGAAAATGCTTATGTGCTACACACCCTGAAACTTACTTCCCCGTAAGGAATAAAATAACAGTAAATCTCACAAAAGCACCCATTGTGTACTTACTTTTAGCTCTTGCTATACTGGTATAATATTACAGGCTTATTCAAAATGGTAGTCTACCAACATTCAGAATACACACATATACAGTAGTTACAAACACTGTAAAGGCTTTATTTATAAACATCTCATAGAGGCAAGACTCAAGAAAATTAACGTTCACATCACTTTGCAGACTAATGTATAGAATACATATGTCTACGTAAAGGGTATCAGACTATGAAAGTGACTGGGAATTGAATTATTTTTGTAAGAAAAGGTAACAAAATCCGCTGTTCTAAGTTGAAATCTCTGAGTTTATGGCTTCCACATGAACAACATTTACTTAAGGATTATGAAAAATGAAATATTGAAGATAAATTGTAAATTGCTTGAAGCTGCTTTAATGCTTAGCTTTCACAGAAGAGTTGAAAAGTTCTCATTCAAAGCTTCCCGTAAACAACTGTATCATTACAACTAAAATATTATAAAATATTAAATAAACCTGGCTGATTACAGGTTGAATTTCCACTTGTTATTTTTTAAATTAAATTGTATGTGTTAGTGCATTAAGTTTGAATTATCCTGCCTGATTGTATTCCTCATTTGGAGCAAAATTCACTAATGTATAGTTCCATCACAAGGTATAGACACTACTTAAGTCCCACTTAAGTCTTTAAAATACTGCTTAATTTGTATGTAAATGATGCATAGACCTTGTGCTGGTCTATTGCATAGGGATGAATATCACCCCTACGGTACAATCTCGCTCTCTTATTGAACTTCCCAGGGATTTGTCTAAGTAAGTGGTGCAGAATCTGGCCATTAGTCAGTTTATTTTTTTGTTCAAAATACTGCTATTTCACATAACAGTTTCTTAGGAAGCATTAACTTAAATTACTGCTGTGCGTCTTACTCTTGATTACTACAGTATGCCACTTACTACATGCTGTCAGAACCAATGCATGCACTTCTACGTTTCAGAAGCCAGAGAAACAAAAAGTTTGTTGTCATAGTAGAAATGGAGACAATTTTGCATTTGAGGGGAATCTGAGCAAGCACCACCCATACACATGACACAATCATTTCCACAGTAACTAAAGGCTCAGTCAGGAGGAGTTGACAGGGCTCAGCACCCTTCAGAATGGCACTCAGATACTATGGTGCTAATGGTGGTATAAGAACTTGAACTGAATAGAGAAAAGCAGAAGGAGATGACAAAAACACCAACACCTAAACAACACAAATATGTGACTGTATGAAATGCCATAAAGTTTTAATTCCCATGAATTAAATAGGTCTTTCTACCCCCCCATCTTCATACATCCTCTATTTATTTCTGCATACTGTGACTATAGTTTTGCACTTATTATAACAGATTAAACATATGATATGTAATTTAATCCACATGTTTAAATAAATAGATTAAAAAGAACAGAATTTCTAACTCAAGAACGTTACTGAGAAATCCAAACAGACATCACTTGTTTTCACGTATAGAACCTCAGGGGACTACAACCACAATAGAAACCTGGTGAGATGCTGGAAATGTCCAAACTTGAGTAACTGGAGGAAAGGGAATAGGCACTTTACAAATACATGAATGCCCACAAATACACCACTGAACATGGAAATTCGGAGCACTTTGCCCACTGTAAAATCTCTTTATGGATCTAAAACAACACTCAGGAAAAGGACCAACAGAACCCCTCATGAGAAGAAACTAGGATTATAAAACCTGAGTTTTGTTTTTTCTCCCCCCCAAAAAAACAAATCAAACAACCCTGTGGGGTTTGAGGATTTTATTTGGGTCTTCTCGTTTTATTTTGTCTTTTCTATTTCTATTCCACTATGAAGAATTTTGGTAAACAGAGAATACATTTGAAAGATTTTTGATCTTAGAAACATTTGGCTCTGATTTCACTCTGAAGTAGAGCTAGTTGGGAATTTTTTGACAAAACTTTTTTTCGACGAAACAAAATGCCTATTTGTTTAACCGGAGACAATTTGTGAAACAGGGTATTTCACTGAATCTCCTGACTTAAAAAGTTTTTTGAAAAAAAAAAAAGTCTAAATTGTTGCAATGAAGTGTTTTGATATTTTTAAACAAAAAAAAATGTTTTTCTGGTTCAAAATGACTTTTTGTTTGTAAATTTAAGCTAATTCAAGTGAAAAAAGATTAAAAAATCTAAAAGGTCTCAATCAAAACAACACATTTCAATCAACCCAAACCAAACATTTCTTTGATTTTTTGGTTCACAAAAAATTGAGATTTAAACTTTTTGTCCTGCTTTGGGTTGATAAAAATTTTCAAAGTCTTGAACATATTTGCAGGATGGGAAAACTATTTCCCAACAAACTCTGCTCTGAAGATTGACCTTAATTTGAATATAAATCTGCATTTGTGAACAAGGTTGTGTACTGTTTGTTACATTAAAATGGTGCTAAACTGTGGCATATTTGAGGGGTTTTGGCCCACAATGTTGTTTAGTTGAAACTTCATAATAGGCTGGACTTTGACAAAGCAAATAAGTAGGTGAAAGCAGGGTAAGCCTAACTAGTTAGTTGTCTGGAGACTCTATTGTTGTGGCGCAGTATTTTACTTTAATTGGAAGCTTTTTGTTTTGGACAATATATACACTTTTTATATTTAAGAAATAAATATTCTTACCAAGTGAATCATATAGTATAAGTTTTGTGTTTCATTTCAGATTTTTTTTTCTCCAGTTTCTCACTTGGTGTTTTCAGTAAGTTTTGGTTTGTTTGTTTGTTTTTCTGGGAAAAAAACAATGGAATTTTTTGGGGGGGGGGGGAGGGGGACCCTGTGGAAGGTCAAACAACCACAAAAGAAACCCTGTAAAAACAAATTCAGAAGAACCACACACATTCTAGGTATCCTCAGCTCCCAAATTTAAATACAGATGGAACAAAGACATGAATCCTTTGTCACTTTTGACTAATCTATGTAATGCATTTTCATATTCTCTCATGTTTCCAACCAAGGGCCGGATTCCCTCTTACGCCAAGTTTCTGTTATACATCTTTAGCTTTGTAAAGGGATCTTAAAGTGGTTGTAAATTACATTCAAATCATATCAATATAAATGTAATTTACACTCACTTTAAGGCCTCTTTTTTCTGCCAGATGGGTGTTAAGAGGTCATAGTGTAAATTAGAAGAATCAGGACTCATGTATTTAGAAAAATGATTAAATTCCCATGTTGCCTCTCATGATTCTTTGTGATATATCACAAGGAGACATTAAGGTTAACTTGGGTCTTTGGATTCATGGGGAATAGTTTTGACTGTTTTTGAAAAACAGTCATTGTGTCATTCACTTTTCTACAAGAACGGAATAATTCTTAATCCTGACCTCCTTATTTTACCTGCTCCTCTGATCCCTACAATGTTGCAGTTTAATTATGCTTTGAATTAGCAACCGATTCTCCCATTGTCTTTTCTCTCACTGTCATGCTATTGTTTTCCCATTTCTTTATTTAATTTAAGCACATTGCTGCTTTTGGATCTTGAAAATGAATTGTATTGATACGATTTGACTGTTAATCTGCCTCGGAAGAGGTGGGCTAGAATTTCACTCCTTTGAGCTGAAGATCATTTGTGATATGCTATATCAATTCAGATGTGTATCTGTACAATTTCTGTGACAGCTTATTATTAAACAACTAATAGTGCAGAGTAAGCTAACGGCATCATATTACAGACTCGAAAGTTATATTATCTCATCATATTTCAAAATATGAAAATACTTCTAGTGACTGATTTAACAAAAAGTCTACATTGTTGCAGGCTGTACCAAAAAATAATTGACTGCAACAGGGAGTTCCACATCCCAAAAATCAGGGCACATATTTTTTATACTGATGTCAAGGTCAGTTATCTGGTAGTAAAGCACACAATAAAAGGAGCTTATTATGATTAGAGAAATAAGTAGAACATTGTGAATTTGGAAGGGCTGGCAGGGGAGATAGCTTTTAGGCTCTTTTTAAATTACCAGAAACATCCAACCCTGGCACAGAACATCACAAATTAATTCAGAAGTGAATGGAAGAGATAAATCAGTTCTGATGCAATTGTTTCAGTGGGCTTTCTATCCTGAATCTGGAGAACTGTCATAGCACTGCATCGTGTTCAAAATACTAGATGTCATTTAACAGTATTACCTTCTACTGTATTTATAACACAAAGTATGATTAAAACTGTAGTGAGATTTTTTTTTTTTAGCGCCATACATTCTGAACTGGAAACCTGGCTGATCTATCCCTGTACTTTAAGTCCTTTCTCACAACGCATTTCTTCAAGGAATGTTGTATACCACAACAATACATAACAAAAAAAATATTAGGCACCTTCAAGATGTGCGCATCATTCACCCAAGCTTCTGCATAATCTTATCTTCTCCCTAGTCCTCCCCTCCCTAAATCTCTTATTTTCTTGTCCTCTCTAACACTCCTTTTCTACTTTTTCCTGTTGTTCCGGTCTTAATCCTGGGACTAATCCTGGAAACCATCACTACTGAGGGCAGGGCTTGCTACTAACTCACATATGGCCGGATTAAAAATGCTCTGAGGCCAATGAACTGACTCCAATTGTTTTCAAAGAGTTCTAGAATCAGGCCCATAGTTAATCATAGACTACAGTATGTAGCTGGTAATTCTATGTTCAATAGTAAATCCTAGGTGTGTTAGCAAGATTTTGCAGATTGCACCCTTAACTTGTAAACTCTTCAGGTAAGGAGAACTGTCCATTTGTTTGAAAAACACCATGGTACTACACTGAAAAAAACAGCAACAGCAATAATAATACTTACCCCACAGTAAAAAACTGCCTCATCTCCTGTCTTCGAGACCTCATCAGTTGTTTATATTCTCCAATACGCAGTTTCTTGCCATCAACAATACAGGTGCGTTTTGGTCGAGGTTTGTATTTGTAGTTAGGGTACTTCTCTAGATGGATTTTACTTAGCCGTGCCTGTTCTTCATAGTAAGGTTGTTTCTCTTGATTAGACATGGATTTCCAGCGAGAGCCTATATATAAAAACATGATGCTTAAGCAAGGCAGACTGAGTTCTAGTTATAGGCATTGAGAAAGACACTTTTTTTTTTTTGGCCATCTTGTATAACAAGTTCACCAGCTTTTAAAAAAACTGTCTGTGGCCAAGATTTTCAAAAGTGATTAGCTATTTTGGGCACCCAATTTGAGACACCTCAAAGGGGCATGGCTTCCAAAGAGTGCAGATCACCTGCTTTCTGAAAATCCAGCTCCTTTAAATTGTCTCCAGTCAGACACCTAACAATTGAGTCATTTAAAATCAATAGTTGCATTTGAAAATATGGATCTTGTGTCCATAACAATTTTTTTCAATTATTCTTTACAATAATGACCTTTGACCTGAGAATAATTCTGTGAGCTATTTATTAAAGAACATAGCTTATAAAGTTCTTAAGAACATAGCTTATAAATTTCTAATAATGGATATCATTGCTCTGCTACTTAGCAAGGAAAACTTATGAAAAGCTCACTTAATCACAAAATTACAAACATCCCCTTACTAATAAGACATCTTTAATTTAGTTGCACTTTGATATAACCTTGGCATACTATTGGCACTCTACAATATTTTAAATCCTATTATGCATATTTTTCTCTGGCCAGATGAAATGAATATATTGAACTGCACTTAGAAAGTTATTTTTTTAAAGGAAAGCACATTTGCAGTTATATACACCACTTTAAGTATTGTAAACGTTCATTGAAAGCTGAGCCAATAAAAGTAGTAAAAAATTCTAATACAGTTTATACAGGAAGAGGAAAAAGTATTCAGATCCCTTGTATTGTTTATAAAGAATGATCTAAACACTTGGAGAGAGGGTAGGTTTTGGGGGGTTGTTTTGGGTAAGCAATGCAGAAAGTAGCTTTTTGGTGTCTTTCAGCTGGATAAAACTATTACAGCTGCGGTAAACGTGGGTGGAGGCTATTCTTTTACCAAGATTTTTATACATCAACAAATGGAAAAGTTGTATAAATATTATCCATAGCCAGCAATGTTCTGTGTCAGTTCTAATAATTCAGACTCTTTTCTCATTGTCCTGGAAAAGTTGCACAGATATTATATGGAGATAGACTTATTTATGACAGGTTAATTCTATGGTTAACAAACATACGATTGCTGGCACTTCTGATATATTTATGCTGAAAGTTTACATTTTAATGAATACAGTTACTATACTCCTAATAGTTTTTTCCAGAATGCACACAAATAATATAGATTCCCCATGGCTGCCAACACTGAAACAGTGCAGGGTTTATACAAAACTGAAAGGCTATTCATATAACTTATTTAAAATGGTAGACAAAAATATGAGAACTTCTAAGTGAGATACTAAAAGTTTTAGGACAGAGTAACATTTATTTCTAGAATGTCTTTTTGCCTCTGACAGAAATAACAAATGCATGAGAAACAGCTCTGTTAAAAATGCATTTCAACTCAAAAGTTTACAATAAAATGATTACAGATGAAACTTGATTTTTACTGTTATTTATTATGAGTTACATTTAGAATCCATCTTTCACTTCAAAGGCTCAGAGAACAAATATATGTTTTAACATTTCACCACTCATTCTCACGTATGTTTCTAATTCTCCAGAGAGGTCATTGACTCACAATGTCTAAAAAAATCAGCCAATTTATTTGCACAGTGGCAAAACTCATGTATTAGTGTATGCCCATATCACATGTGTATACACATTAAATATTACTTCTGAATTGTTAATATTAAGTAATATTTTAATTGTGTAATGCAAGTGTTTCCTTCTATTTTGTTCTTCTAACATCGATATATGTTTCATTAAAACATTACCTTATTTTTTAAAGAAAATATGCGTTGAATATATGCTCTTTCAAGTATTATGAAACTTGCTGACCAATAATTAATTTCTGACATTTAATTCTCTGACAAATTTTTATCTTGGATTTGTATTAAACATATTTCCAAAATTATTAATGTTACCATAAGAAGCACAGTTTCCATTTTCATGAATTATGAACTTTTGAGTTCAAATTATTTCTGATGTGATCATGCAATGGGTCACTTTACCCAGGAGCCATTGTTACAGTAAACTGGCAATTCGGACAGCCCTAGTTGAATGAGGGAGAATACACAGAGGGGACACTGGGCTGTCCCTCCCTTTCAGAGTCTCTGCCATTCATTAGCTAATAGGGGAAGGAAAGAAGCTGATTGGTCCCTCACCCTACTCTAGCCTGAGCCAAGTGGAGCTTCTTTTTGCTACGTTCCCAGCAGCCCCACCCTCTCTATGCTGTACCAATAGCCTTGGAGCTGTGGATTGTGGATACAGCAGATCTGACCAATCAGCTGTTTTGGGATTAGGAAAGAAATTTTTTCTTCCTGTAGGCACCTGGGAAGTTTTTCGCCTTCCTCACAGCACCCTGGAGGCACAGTTAAGTTAAATAGTAATAGGATTTAACAATTGATGATAGTACTTGGAAAGGATGTTAGGTCTTCACAATTTGTGGGTGGTTTCCAGTGTGGTTAAAAGGAATGGTTCCCAGAAGTAAAAGACCTGAGATTTTATTGATGGGCCTTGTGCTCGTGGGATAGCGGAAAACCTTATGGCCTTCACGGGCCAAGGTCCTCCCCTCCTCCTTCCCCCCCCCCCTGCTTTTTAGTATCCCCAGTCCCGCTCACGCAGGGAGGGAGGTGGTAAGACTCAGAAGAGCATGTTGAGTCATAGGCCAAGGTAGTTATATGGAGTATCCGTGTAACCCCTGTATTGGAACCACTTAAAATCCTGGTGAGAGTATGGGTGACAGGACGGGTAGTGCCCCTACCCTTTGTTTAAGTTTAATAAATTGTGGCCTGTTCCTTAAACATCCATCCCTGCATTTGCCGCCACATCTACATCAGTCACAATATATTTATTGTCTTGTACTTACCTAGGATTTTGCTAATATTGGAGTTGTGCATGTCAGGAAAAGCTTGGAGAATTTTTCTGCGTTCATCCTTTGCCCAAACCATGAAAGCGTTCATTGGTCGCTTGATATGCGGTTCACTACTGGCTCGGCCCCGTGCGTCCCTGTAGACTCGAGCTTCAGCCACAGTGGCACCTCCTGTTGGCCAACAATAATACTGCTGTAGTTTAGCTGCAGAGCCATTCATTGCTTTACTTCCTGTAATATCAAGGCAGGAAGAAACAAGATGGATGCAAAGCATTATTATTTCGATTACAAACAACTTGCTATGCCTTGTTCATTTTAGCTTCATTTTTTCTCTCTCTCCCCCCCCTTCTTGCTTCATCTATAAGAGCTAATTTCATGATTTCAATGTACCCATCCAAAGGCAATCTTAACAAGATCCACAATACCTGTATTAGCCAACAAATTGTTTGTATTGATAATTATATTTTTCTTCTGTCAAGTTACCAAAGACTAGACCAAGTTCCAGTTCTGGGTTCTAATACTGCGTGTACATTTTGTATGTTCCATGGGTGCATGTGTATAAAAGTTACACGTGAGAATCAACAGTGATGTAGAACTGCTCACACAAGTACTTCACAATGACTCTGCTGCTTGTGCAGTGGAACATATCCAAACATTTCGTAATAAATTATATAGCATATTCTTAATCTGTGGGTACATGTTGCACATTATATAGGTCTGATTCTGCTGGGGGCTGAGCATCCTCAGTTCAAATTTATTTCAATGACAACTGAATATGGGTCAGCATCTTGCAGGATCAAGCCACGCATCTGTAATGCGGTAGTTTGCAGTCAACAGGTATGCATGCTAATACCAGAGCAACAGGTTGGTGTGACTAGTACATTGGGTTCCCCTTGACAATGATACTTTAGTGAATCCTGATGGCCTGCCATTACCCACCTGCAATTCAGCTGTGCATGCTCTAACCCAGGGGTCGGCAACCTTTCAGAAGTGGTGTGCGGAGTCTTCATTTATTCACTCTAATTTAAGGTTTCGTATGCCAGTAATACATGTTAACATTTTTAGAAGGTCTCTTTCTATAAGTCTATAATATATAACTAAACTATTGTTGTATGTAAAGTAAATAAGGTTTTAAAAATGTTTAAGAAGCTTCATTTAAAATTAAATTAAAATGCAGAGCCCCCAGGACCGCTGGCCAGGACCCGGGCAGTGTGAGTGCCACTGAAAGCAGCTTGCGTGCCGCCTTCGGCACATGTGCCATAGGTTGCCTACCCCTGCTCTAACCTGTGATGGATCTTGGGCTGCACCCAAGCTCAGTTTTCATGACAACAAGCAGCCTAAGCTTTACTGTACATTAGAGTGCACACAACTGAACATCAGGTGGTAGGAACTGCCTGATATAGCTGAGATGTGAGCCTGGTAAACGCATGTCCTTGTCCTGAAACTTTTGGAATCATAATTGTAATATACACTTTTAAGGCTGGAACATAGCTGTGAACAGAGAGCAAGAAAAGGCTGTACAGGAGAAAAGTGACACAATTTTATTTTAGGCTTCAACACTCTACACTCATGTTATCCAGTGCTTTGATAAAAACAAAAAGGTGGTTGTGTCAAAACATGACAATAAATTAGCACAATAATATGCCTCGTTATTTTTCTGTAGCAGAGTGAAGGTAATTTATATCAACCAAAAATATAAAGTCAGATATTTAGCTTCTGCAAAGTATCATTGTTCTATTGTCTTCAATGACTGGCTTATAGTTTTTAATTATGTAGAATCCTAATTTTGCTAATTTACTGGGAAAACACCATACTTTATATACACAACAATTTAATTCCATGTAGGCAATTCATTTATATGAAAAAAGTCTTAGAACAGAGGATGCATAACTAATACACTACCTTTTTGCCACCATGCCCACAGTACATTAATTTCATTTAAAAGGCACTGACCATACAGGATAAATTGATTTCACTTTATATGGCGTTGACAGCCATGTTTATTGTGCAGTGAAATGTAGTGTAGTTTCAAGCGGACAATATCCATCAACATAGGGCAATATGCTGACTGCTGGGCCAGATGAAGACATACATTACCCTGGAAGCAAAACACTCATTCAGATACGACAGTGTCTTCTCCTGAGGATCACTGTGGAAATTTATGATGCCCTCAATGCCATTATTTTACAACTGACACTGATTCAGCAATTTATATACTTACATGTGTGCACATAAAAGAAGACAGGTTTGCAGCAAATGTCAGATGCAAAAATATTTTAATATTATTCTGAGTTAACTACTGTGCCACAGGTGTTCAGCATTTACAGATGGTTACAATTGCTGCTCTCTCTCTCTCTTTTGCAATAGGGAGTAGTGGTTTTGCTGAGTGGGTGAAGATAAAGATGTGCTTTTAGGACTTAATCCTAAATCCTAAAGCAGTTTGGCTTGATGGGAATATATATCGTTGACAGAGAACTATGCAGCCTGGAAAAACCCAGTCAGGATGGAGAGAGACATGGGTCTCTACCCAAGAAAGGGGACTGCTGAGGATCTAGAAACCTAAAAGTGGGTGCCCTTGTTGTTTTAGGACTTAATCCAAAGGCAACTGGAGTCAACGGGAGCCTTTTCCCTGTCTTCAAATGGGCTCTTGATCAGACTCTTCCTGCACGTCGTCTCAAATAGAATATATCTTTATTTTAAAATTGGGATATTTTTAATTGGGGTTTCCTATGTTACTGTGGTTTAGTGACTTAATTCTAATAGGTAGGACTAACACAAATAACAGAAAAATGTATATATAATTATATGTATAATTATTCCATTTTTTTTAAATACCAAAATTTGCAACAACTATGCAATGATAATGCAGCATTATGAAGCTAGTTGACAAATGAAAAAATATGAATAATTATTCTGTACAAAATTGTCAACATTTGCAACAAGTTATTCAATCAGCTCTACTGATAGAAAAGGAAAAGGGTGAGGGGGCGCGAATATCTCTACCCAGCTGATTAATACTGTGATAAGGCAATTTACTGAATTCAGTTTAAGTACAGTATCTTTGGGTCCATCATACTAAACACAAAGTTCATGCATTATTGTGGGCCGGGATTTGATGTAATCTCTGTAGAGTGGAGATGTGATGGAAGGCCAATAGTGAACAATGTGTCAGACAAGAATAGACTTTTGGGACAATGCGTGTAAAGTGGATTTCCTGGGAGATATATAGTGGAGGGGCAAATGCAAACCTAGCCTTTTGAAGCTTTGCTCTTAGAAGTGGACTTTTTGTCTGCTGATCAACTGTTATACAAGGCCATGATCAAAGATCCAAGCGATATAAAGGAAAGCTTATGGGCTTGTCTACCCTTGAAATGCTGCAGCTGCACTGCTGTAGAGCTTCAGTGTAGACACTATAGCGACAGGAGGGGGCTCTCTTGTTGATGTAGTTAGTCCACGTTCCTGATTTAACTTCTGAGTGTAGATCTGGCCTGAACGATTCATGGTTGTTCTGGTTTTGAATCTGAGACTGTTATGAACTTGTAACCACATGGAACGCCCAGTTGTGGATTTTGAAGGATTAACACCTAACAGAACGTGAGATTAGGGTCACCTCTGATAAACATTTTAGTGTCTGTGTGTAGGTTCTTTTATTGGTTTTTAATATGTTTTCTTTTTAATGCTTTCATCTTAAGAATAAATGTACTTACTTATAAAAAGAGCTGTGTAGTAATTAGTGACTACTATCAATTACAATTGTTAAAAGCCTCTGAAGAGAAAACAAGGCACAGAAACTGGCTTGTTTAGGCAGTTTGGCTTGATGGGAATATATATCGTTGACAGAGAACTATGCAGCCTGGAAAAACCCAGTCAGGATGGAGAGAGACATGGGTCTCTACCCAAGAAAGGGGACTGCTGAGGATCTAGAAACCTAAAAGTAGGTGCCCTTGTTGGACCATGGAGGGTAAATACAGGTGCAGCTGCCCTGAACTGTGACATATATATATGATTTTACACCTTCTACCTTCATGAACATGCTCCTTGTTATAGTCCCAATTCAGCAAAGTGTTTAAGCACATTCCTAACAAAGCGCATAAATGGTTCTTGGAACTACTCACATGCCTAAGTACTTAGCTGGATCAGTGCCAATGAGCTTCCTTCCCACCTTTCTGCCAGCTTCCCTCAAGCCTGGCACAGATTGAAGAGACTACAAGTGGCCCGAATTTATGGGAGGGTTTAATCATGAGGGAGTTGCCACAAACCTTCCAAGAATTTCTGTTTACCTGAAATGGGGAAAAGGAGGATCTATCTATCCTTGGGCCAAATGCTGCACTCATACATCCCACCACCACGATACAAATAAATGGATTTGTCACAGAAGATCTAATAAAGGTTGTTGGGTGGTGGTGGGGTGGGGGGCGTGAAATCTTCTCTCAACCTACTGGTATGATGCAGATGGCTGCTTAACAGTTTCACTGCCACTACCACCCATGACTGTACGCTGGGCCCTCCCCCCATCATCAGATTTTAGGCCCGTAGATCCACATAATGGTGGATCTACTGGCCCATCCCTGGATTGCCTCACAAGCTCCTTCCCTGCTGCTACCTTGCAATAGTTCTGAAGTGAGGTTTCCCTGTTCTCATGAGACAGGTGACACTGCTTCCCAACTTCACACTCCCTGCCATATTTCCAGTGATATTGCTCCACTCCAACAGCATAAGCAGAAGGGAGCATCTGGCTCCTTATGTCTGTAATTACAGTATAATGATCAATAATTAAATAAAGGAGGAAACTACTGTAGTCTAACACAACTGCATGCAAAACATGCTCATATAACACCATAGGGGGATCAGGAAAGCAACCTTTAGCTCTGAGCACTGTATACAAATGAAAAGAGTTACTTTGGAGAGGTATAATGCATCATATAGTCTCTAAAAGTAAAACACTGAATTCCCTTGTTATGGTCAGCTTTTGTGCCTGCAGGAGTAACCAAGATAATAATACCACACAAATTTCAAACTGATTTTTTTAAAAAAACTTAGTATTTAAAATACAAGTTATTTTGAAAATCATGTCTTGATTTACATAACTGCCACACCATGCCAGTTACAAGTGACTGTGTTTATCTACAGTTGGCATGGTTAGGAAACAGCTCTATAAATTTTTGATTGCACCAATACCTACAGTTGGCCAATGAGTTTGTCTTTAAGTCTTTCTAATAAAGTTTTGGCCT